TCTATTAATTAGCCAGTTTTTGATCCATAAAAGGACTTGTCCTTTTATCCCATGATTTTTGAGCTTACTTAGGAGCCTTTGATGAGGAACTTTATCAAAAGCTTTCTGGAAGTCAAGGTAAACAATATGTCTTAACAAATGTATTATATATTTCAAATATTGAAGCAGACATTAAAACATCAATATTACAGAATTTTGGGATAGATTCTCTCTTTAAAGAATAAACAAGAACTTTCCTAAAGTTAGCGATAATCTACTAATGATAAGAAAATATTTAATGAGTTTTTTGGTGCATTTTTAAGCCACTTCAAGAACTCTGTGGTTTGGTATTTTTTTTAAGTTAATAATGCTGCAGTCCTAAAAGCACTTTCCTGGCAGCAAGCCCCATTAAATAAAATGACACTTACTTCAGAGTAAACCTGCTTAAGTTTGCTAAAATGTGGATCCTTTGAACGGTTTCATGTGCATTAGGTAGTTTCTGCCACAGAGCACAGGTCCTGTTCTGCTAAAAATTACTTTCCTGGCAGCAAGCCCCATTAAATAAAATGACACTTACTTCAGAGTAAACCTGCTTAAGTTTGCTAAAATGTGGATCCTTTGAATGGTTTCACGTGCATTAGGTAGTTTCTGCCACAGAGCACAGGTCCTGTTCTGCTAAAAATTCCATTTGCACAGGGGCCATCAGTCTTTCGCAAATGGAAGTCTTAGCAGAAGAGGAAGTGCACTCAGAGGCAGAGACTACCTAGTGCACACAGGATGTGTTCCTAGGACCCAAGTCTACCAATACAGGGTGCCAACTTCACAATCTCCATATTGGGCCTTGACCACTCTTACACACACCATATCATGTTCTCCCCCTCCTTGCCATCACAGCCATCCCATCTGAGATGCTTTAGGATTAATTCAGAACTCACCATTGACTCCCAGTCATCTGAAGAGTCTCCTTAATGGCACCTACCCCTTAAAGAGTTATCTACACCTGTCAGCCTAAGCATCAAATACCGGCTTTTCTATAGTTTAATGCAGTATTAATGTTTAATTCTTGTTTCACCTGATTTTTGTTTTATTGCATTGTTGTAAGCCTCCTTGAACAGTTTTCTGGGGAAGCAGCTAAGTAATGTCCTAAAAAAAGAAGAAACATCATCCCTGGTATTTCCAAATGCTTGTGAAGGAATGACAATACAAATCTTGGCCACAGGACTGCAGCCAAATCCCCTCCTCTGCAGCGTTCCTGTGGTCATGGGGTTGGCTTCCCATGCTGTAAGGCCAAATGGCTTTTGACCATCTAAATCTTCCTTAAGGTTCCTCCAAGTATTTTGCAAGAAAGCTCTCTTTCTTTTCCGTTTCCCTAGACCCTTTAATTCCCAAGAGAGTTTTTGACATTCAGGTTCATTTCCTGTCACGGAGGCCAGTCCTCTTTAAACCCAAGAGAATTCCTCCCCTCCTTCCTTACCCAACCTGTTGCCGTTTCTAAAACATTTTATGGAGGAGGGAAACAATGAGTTTTCAAAACCGTTTCATAAAATTGTTTTATTTCCTGTCGCAGTACTTCAAATGCTTTCTGGCTTGGGAAATGGTTTTTCATAGGTTGATCTAAGTCATTGGTTAACATTCTCAGACTGGTTTACTGTCTCCTTTTGAGGAAGGGAATCATTTTTTCCATGCTGACAACTGCTTCTCACAATATTGCAGGAAACCTTCATGTAGTGAGGGAGAATAGGGTCTTGTTTTTCCTGTTGCTTTAATAGGGGTTTAATCAAACTCCCTAAATATTTCCCAGGATATTTACACACAGGTTTTCAACTTCCATTTGCATGTCCCAAAACTTTCAAGATGGTATCCATATACATAAGGACACCTTCTTCACCCGTCCAAAGAATCATCACATATCCACAGTAAAGCCCAGAGTTTTCAACTTTCCACATTGACTTTCCTGATGAGTAATAATTAATAGTTATCATATGGCAATGTGTGTAGTATAGCCAGGAAATCCTAAGATTATCTGGCAGCCAGAAATTCTAGCTCTTTTAGCATTATGCACCACTAGGTGGCAAGCTAGACTTGTTTTTAAGGCAGGAGACGTTTCAGTGGTGGTTTGGCATCGCCTGCCTCTGTGTCATGCCCTTGGTATTCCTTGGAGGTCACCCATCCAAATCCTAGCCAGGGCCGACCCTGCTTAGAATCATAGAATCATAGAGCTGGAAGGGACCTCCAGAGTCATCTAGTCCCACCCCCCTTCACAATGCAGGAAATTCACAAATGCCTCCCCCCCCACACACTCACCCAGTGACCACTGTTCCACACCCAGAAGATGACAAAAAACCCTCCAGGATCTCCAGCCATTCTGGCCTGGAGAAAAATTGCTTCCTGACCCAAAAGTGACGATCAGCATTTCCCTGGGCATGTAAGAAAGGGACACAAGAACTAAGCAGTGATGCAACCCTTCCTGTCCTCCCTCTCATGAGCTGCCTAAGTTCACAGAATCCGCATTGCTATCAGATGGCCATCTAGCCTCTGTGTGAAAACCTC